GCAAATCAGCACCCAGCAGTCCCCAGGCACCCAGTGGAAGGCAGAGTGCTGATAATGGGACACCACGTCAAATGACAGTCAAGACTGCAGTGCCTAGGAAGGCAATAAGCAACCGTGTAGTAAAGCTGAAGCGAACTCCACTATTTCATGTGACACCATCTCAGCCGTCTTCTTCCATGCCCAGTAAAACAAGTGAACAAGACAGTGCTCCTGGTGAAATTCCTACTATTTCTATGGTACTAAACAAGAAAGAACCAGCTGTATTAGCAGAAAGTATTAAGACTGATAAAGTGGATGGATAATGTTAAACTCAGCTGTCTGATAAACTGGATAGTTTTGCATCATCTGGACAAAGAAGAGATTGTCATCTCCTGTGCTCGTTCAAAGACTTAGTAGAAAATTATGATGTAAAAGTTCATGAAAAGCATAGGGAGAATTTTTTTTAAGCAAGCAATGAGGCATGTTTTCTGCTTTAATTCTAAATATTGTTTAGATGTTGGGAAAAAAGAAAAATGGATTACAAAAACCCCTCAAACACAGAGCATGTGCAGCCTAATGTTACAGTGTTTGTATTTCTGTCAGGCTGTACTAGTGCAACTGATCTTTTAAAGGGAGCACAACATAAAAGAAGACTTGCTTACCAACTATGATTAACATTAGCTAGAGTTGACGTTGTTAATTTGTATATTTAAAGTGGGGGAAAGTAGCTAACAATAAGTAGCTTTTATTAGATACAACTTTGCCACAAGTGTACAACATACCCAAGATTCCTGAAGTTGAATGCACTGATACTTCTGGTGAAGATAAATCACCGTTTGCTGTTGACAGCAACAAAAGGGACCACCTTTACTTGTACACGGAGAAATGCAGGAAAGGAAGCAGCATGTCCGGGGAGTAACATTGCAGTTTTCTCCACAGACCCGAGACATGTGTCGTACTTTCCTAACGCTGTGTGATCTGACCCTCGGGCGAAGCTGCTGCAGGCAGCGGGTGAAGCCTTGGCATTCTGCCTAACACCACTGTGGGGTGTGCTTTCTGCATCTGCAGGGAATCTCAAGTCTGAATCACAGCTGTGTTAAAGCAGTGTTAGCACAATTACCTCTCTTCAGACCAGGGCACAAGAACTCCTCTTTCACCCTGAGCAGGATAGAGACCTTCTTATGCCAGAGTAAATTCTGAGTAATGCTACTGAAGAGCTGCTGTATGTTTTTGTCAGCAGAGGAAAACTAAGTTTACCTTGCTAATTTTAAAAAGCCCTTTTAGTTGTCTAAACCAGTGAATGAAGCCTGGCTTTGTTTTGGGCCCTTGCTTGTTTATAGTTGGATGCTGGTGTTTTTTGTTGGTTTTGCTACTGCTTGCTCTTTTCCACCCCAGTAAATACAAATGGCCCTAAACATTGAGAAGTCCTACCACATTGCCAAAATGCAATGTTCTTAAAATTCCTGAGATTATTAGAATTACAGAAGGGTCCTTTAAATATTTATTTTCTGGATAATTTAGAAGTGAGCACGTTTTCAGGCTTTGCTTTTAACCACAAGGACAGGAAACATCATTTGCACAAGCAAAAAAATCCCACATTTTCATGTACTACCATATTTTTAAGGAGACACTTGGCCATGAACAGTAGTCGCTGTACATGTATGCAGTACTGTAATTTTCTGCTATTGGAATGTATATTAAAAAACAGCGTAACTTTTTAAGCTAGTGGTTTTTCTTAAAAAATAAACCTAAAGAGCAACACTCCCAAGACTCTTCCTATCCCAACAAAAAATGCTTTACTGAATAAAGAACAAGGCAAAAATGATGGAAAGGTACTAACAGTGTCATCACCTGTTCTTTGTCAGAAATAGAACTATATAAATACTTTGTGGTAAATCTAAACTAATTTTGGGCAACAGCCTTTAATAAAATATGTTAAACAGTAGAAACAAGTAAGGCTGATGTTACAGACCTCTGCTGCTTTCTGAGTGTTTTGGGCATCTCTTCTTACAGAACTCTCTTCTTAAAAAAAAACAAAACGCCAGCAACTGGCTGTTTATCTCATAACTGGTCACTCTTGGCCAAAACTTACTTTGCAAATTCACAGGGTTATGTGATCAGCTGTGTAGTGTGCCCAGTTCACATCAAGGATTTGACCCTTTTCAAAGTTGCCCCTTTCCTATATCTAAATATATCTTTTCATTCATTCTAGTCTCTGGTACAACATACACAAACATTTTAGTACAGTTTCTTTTAGTAGTTTGCCATAATAAAATAGATGTATTGTCTTAAATTTTTGGCAAATTTCTATTATACCCCCACACAGGTAACTGGCAGGGTACTGCAAATGGAGACCTCTGATCCCATAGACCCTCTGCTGTAGTCACAAGCAGATGAACAGGAAGGATGTAGCTGATTTATAAAATCCCAGTGTAGCTCAGTCAATAGATAGGGAAACAGAATGACAATAAAAACTGCCATCCATACGAGCTCAGACCAGGTGTTCCCCTACAACAGGGGAACCCCACAACAGGGTCCAGAAGAGTGCTACAAGATCACCGTTTCCAGAATTATTAGTTGCTCTTTCAGAGTGATATTTTTAAACAAGCTAAGTGATTTTTATTTTTTTAAATCTTTTTACAAACATACCTAAATAATTTAAGTTTTACAAACAGCTCAGCTATGTCAAATCACCTTCTCTCATTTTAGCTTTCCAGCTTTGTATTCAGTGTTTTATTTTGCTGAGTTCTGCCCTTACTCTTATGAGTTTAATCTTACACAGAAGACAAACTGATCCAACCTGCTTTAAAATACTGCCCTTTAAGATCTGCTTCCACTTTCACAGAGTGCACAAAGTGCAGTGGGAATTCCATGTTTGTGTTTAAGTGATGCCAAAGAGCTATACTTGCTTTGCAAAACTGAGGATGCATTTTTTAAAAAATGAGGTGGCTGGCCTGAAAGTCAAGCCTTTTCCAGCCCTTAATTCCCTCACTGATCCCAGTTCAATTCCCTTACATGAAAAGGAGAATCACATGTAGATGGTTCTGTAATTAGAAGAGATGATGGACCCAAGAGCATTCAATTACTTACAAGTATTGTGAACAGTAAAAAAACACTCCCCAGAAATATGCAAATACAATTCCAAAAATACGGAGACACAGGAAATGAAAGATGAAGAGATACTGTTCTGACACAGCTACATAACGTAAAATGTGTACTGCAATACTAAACCACACTTGGTGTGTCAAGACTGCAGAGTTCCCAGAACCAGCCCACTCCCTGGCCCAACCAAATCCACATTTTCCATCAAAGAAAATGGGTTTGCATCACAGTCTGGAGAGAAATGCTGTCTCTCACCTGTTAGTCCTGGGTCTGTCACATACTGAGCCTCCAGCACATCAAAGGTTAGCTGGTACTGAAGAGCACATGGTGGTCCTCTCATGCTGAGTTACAACTTATGCTAGAGATTTTATGTATTTGCAGAAGCCTGCTTGGGAGAAAGCTGACTTATGGGAAAAAATAACTTTCAATAATTCTTTCAAGAGGAGAACCTATCAGGAAGGAGTAAAAGTCATTATAGATAAGTTAGATTTTCTTTTTTTAGAAGGGCTTACAAGAAGAGATTTAAGTTTCACAAATTATTTAAGGACATAATAAGATTCCTGTTCTATACCTGCATGAAAATGATAAATATGTATCTTAGAGTGAGGTCATAATTCAAAATGTATGGAAGCTGATACATTTTGAAAAGCTACCCAGCTGATGGGTGTGTACAACACAGATCCTGCAATTTCAGTTCCGTTTACTCAAAACATTCAGCTTAAAAGCATGATAGGTAATTCACTAGGATAGAAGCACTGCTTACAATGCTAAGAAAGCCAGTGTTTACCTTTGCATGTTTATTTTTCTTTCGCCACTCTTCTAGATAGAAATGACTCATTTGCCTAAAAGGCAAATAATAGGTTTTACCACTATCTACATGTGGAACATTGCATAAGGATATCAAGAGAAACAAAACAAATCAAAATCACCAAAATGCAATCTCACTTAGAGATTATTTTTTAAGGGCCACACAGGAGAACAGTCAGTACTATGGAAATGTACAGTTAGCTAACAGAAATTAGGCAGGGGAAACTGGTAAAAAGCAGAAGTAAGTAAAAATAAGAACCTAGGAATAAACTTCTAAAGATACTCAAGAGTTCTGCTCTTACTGACATCAGCAGAAAATAAACCCTTTTATATGCCTTTCAGATTCTCAATCTTAAATGAGCTACTTCACTTGATGCCAGATCTGGATGCCAACGCATCACAATGTTAAATAATAATTTATATTAAAAGAATGTCCAGGATGTAGACAATTCTCATGGGAAGGTTCTGTTCCATGCACTTGTGGCATTAGAATCCAGGTAAAAAGGAAAAGCCTTGTCCTATCCAGACTCAGCTGAAAGCCTCCCACAGATACCACTACAATTAAGCAAATACAATTTCAGTAAGATCACAAAGGTTAGGCACTGCAAAGCAGCAAACACCAGAGTATTTTAAAAAGAGGATTTTAATTTTTTGAAAGAAACAGGTTTCTGGAAATACAGCATCAGAACATTAAGACTAAGTAAGATCTCTGTTTTAATAGAAAACTCAGAAGGATGTAGTATCTCCTCAAATATGAACCTCCACATTCTGCTGCATGTTGCTGTAACAAATTTATCAGTCGTAGTTCTTGTTATGGACAGATGGTTCCTACAGCAAAAATATAGAAAAATAATTTGGATTTGTCACGAACCGATTCAAGTTTAGAACACCTGTAACTTTTCATATGCAAAAAATAAATCCAACTAGTCATAGAAAAATGGCTGATTAGGACGAAGAATAGGGCTGTGCATCTGAACAGTCATGACTATATACATTCCAAACTTAAGAAATGAGCATTTTTCCTCAGCCTCATAAAAACAGTTTGTCAATGAAAAATACCAATATGTAATACATCTAATGCAATTTATACTTCAATTTAAAGATCTCAGATTATGGAATAATGAGCTAGAATAAAATGTACTACTTTTTCAAATGTTCTTATATATAACAATACTCTGTGTATATGTGTGCATGCATGTACGTGTATACACACACAGGAAGAGGTGAACAGCGATTTGCAGGAAAATTCTACAGGACTATCATCTTTCTTTGCAGACCATAGTATACAGACTTCCTGGGATCCTTCTAACACAGGCTGCTCTAAAAAACAGTAATGTTGACTGGTACCACCACATATCTACAACAGGTCTTTTGCTATTGTAAAGGTAATTATCAGTTAAATTTTCCAATCTAGATTTCATTTTTCTAAAAAGTAAATGCTGCTTTGGTAAGATTCTTTACTGTCATGACAAAGTAACTGCGAACATATTGGGTAAAGACTTGAAAGTATGAATTAATTTTTATAATTAGTAAGTAATAAAGATACCAACAAGTTTTAAGCAGCAACAGATTTAAAATGACTATGTTCTGACTTATTTTCTTCATCAATGAGCCTCTCAAGCAAGAAACTAAAATGAAGAGATTATATTTCTTTGCCTGCCATCACTGTGACATTTTAAGCCACCAAGGTCACAGCTGGCACTGAAAGAACAGTGGCATCAGCAGAGACATCCATCCTTGCAGGGCATAAGTTGCATTGTGACACCCTGCCAACACTGCCTTGGAAAGGCCTGTGATCTGCTGTGTCTGGCGTATGATGCTTTCGTCGGGTCTTTTCTGAATGTGTTGGATTCTCTGTGGTCCTTGTAGTTGTGGACTGCTCTTGATTTTTCATAGCTCCTTTATTTTTAGATCTGAAGTTGTTATGCTGCTGTCTTCTGTGTTCAGACCTGGAACCACTCTTTGTATTGTTTTGATCAGCCTCATTACTGGCACCTTGTGACTTAAGAGATCCATTGAGCCGGACGTTTTGGTGCTGTGGGTTGAATCTTCGTCTCTGGCTAGAAGAACCATTCTTCCCAGAAAGAAATTGGATAACTGTTAGGTTATCTGAATCCTTCCAACAGGACAAGAAACACAGCAATCAGAATTAACAAAAATTGGAGAATAAAATTTTCAGTGTAACTAGGAGAGGGAAAACACTATACAGATTTGATTGTTGCCAGAGCTATTTATAACACTCAAAAACTGATGTATGCTACATCAGAGTAGCCTGGAAATATAGATGGCAGGTTCACCACTGCTGTGAAATTAAAATCTGCCATGATTCCAGAGAGTACTGAAAAGGGAATGAAATACCAGACATCTCAACAGGAACAGTTAAGAAGCACTGAAGAACTTGATACTGATTTTTGTGCAAAATCACAAAAATACACTTCCTAGTAAAGTATTGTGTACATGCTATGGTAAGACTGCAAGAAGAACAGAAATTCACATGTAAATTCCAGTCAAGTTAAGAATCCACATGGTGGAAAGATGTGTATTGTGACATCTGGCTCAGAGGAAGCTTTGATCCTTAGTGGGAAGTGGCTGAACTGTTTATTTGCAGGACTGCCAGGGCAGCTGATTCCACACAAGCGCTGACATTACATAATGCTCCTACATTTCACTTTAGGCACTTACTTGAACTTAAAATCCCTACTGGGACAAAACTCAGACCAACTTCGCAGCTTTACTGAAGCACAACAGTACAAGGTCATCCTAAGGTGCTCTTACAGTGAAATTGCAAGCAATATAGCATGATACTATAAGCTATATTACCCAGCTTTTGAAATAATACTCTTAAACCTGGTAGGATTCCACTTTCAAAGTCTATCTATGCTTCAGCAGCTCACCAACTGATAATTTGTCAAGGATCAGGAATAAATGTTTCTCCATTGTAGCATGCAGGGCAACTAGCATTATGGAGGCTTTTCTCTTTTTCAGTCCATTAACTGCCACTTGTCACTTCTGAACACCAGACAGTGCTCTTTGCTGGTAGGGCTTTTCTGGTATTTCCACCTTGTATGTTCACACTGCCTCAAAAATGAAGCTGGAAAATATATACTTGCATATTTTAAAGTTATATTAATTAAATATACTGGCACAAAAATGGCATTTGATTTTTTACTTCGAAACTTTCAATGCTGTACATTTTTCCAAAATTTTGGAAATAACAAGGTAGTTCATAACTGGTTTCTTACCTGCTTATTTGTCAGGATTCCTTGAGAAGAAGATTCTGTAGGATTGGAAGAAAGGTGACGTTGTACTTTAGCGCTGGCTGCTTTATTATCAGAGTTCTTGGCATTACTAGAGGACTTCCGAGTGTGCATATTTTGCTTGCCAGTTGTTACATGCGAGGTGATTGAAGACAGCACTGAACTACACGGTGTTCTTGAGGAATAGTTGTTCTTTGGGTGAGAAACTATAAAAAAAGTTATTGCATTATCAGTTAAATTATCAACTAAATATAAGGCTGTATTCTTATCCTGCTTATAGTTAATTCTGCTAGCATCATTCTAGCCTTACTTTAGACAATGAAACAAGCTAGATAGCTAAGGCTGCAATTATGCCATATTGTTAGACTTCTGTGAAACTGCATTGTCATGAAGCGTCTGGAGGTAAGAGAGCCAACGTGGTGGAACTGCACTAAAACTGGAAGGAGCCTGGCAGAAAGCTAGACTTTGGTCACCCAAGAAAACTTTGCAAAATTCCTGGCACCTATTGGTTTGCTTGTGAACTTTTAACCAGTTGACTGTGCTGTCAGGACTGTCCCATGCACTGCTGCCCTATCAGTAATGCTCCGAATGGGAGTCTTCAGGAAACAAAGGAAGAAACAATGGCAGGACGTGAGATGTACACCAGTAACCTAACTGCTTGAAATCAAAGGAAGTTGTGCCTGTAGACACCATAGACTAAATTCAATTCCATGATCTTTGGTCATGAAAGTCTGAAGATGCTGATGTTTGTTGTCTATTATATGTACTAGGTACATGACAGGTAATAGCCCGGGAAGCTTATTATGTCTTATTTTTTAAGAAGTCTACAGTCATGCACCAGTACAGATTACTAGGTAGTTAACCTGCTGAAAAGCAGCTCTGTGGGGAAGGACCTCAGAGTCCTGGTGGACAAGTTATCCATGGGACAGTATTGTGCCCTTGTGGCCAAGATGACCAATGGTATCCTGGGGTGCATAAAGAAGTGTGTCCAGCAGGTCGAGGAAGATTCTCCTCCCCCTCTACTCTGCTCTAGTGAGACCACATCTGGAGTATTGTGTCCAGTTCTGGGCTCCCCAGTTCGAGAGGGGCAGGGATTTACTTGAGAGAGTCCAACAGAGGGCTACAAGGATGATTAAGGGATTGGAACACCTGTCTTAAGAGGAAAGACTTAGAGACCTGGAGCTATTTAGTCTGGAGGGCATCTTGTTAATGTTTACAAATATCTGAAGGGTGGGTGTCAAGGAGGGGCCAGTCTCTTTTCAGTTGTGCCCTGAGATAGGACAAGGGGCAAAGGACACAAACTGGAGCACAGGATTCTATGTTGCTTATTCCTCTCTAAGGAGATGGCTAACAAAGGTTCTTCTGTACCATGGGTATCTATAAAAGACAATTCACTTATCCACTTCATGTGGATCATGGCAGTCAGCACCATTACTATGGCTCATCTCAGTATATTCCTGCTCCCTACTTATTAGCATTTTGAGATCAGCTGATTTCTTAACAACTTCCATGTCTGGATGTGAAGTGCACTGAACAAATCCTTGATTCTTTTCTCTTTGCATTTCCACAAGCTGTTCAAGTTGCTTGCTTCTGTGCAATGGCCCCTATGCAGTTCCAAAGATGACTCTGATGATATGTAGTAAAGTTCTTGTTCTTAATTTTCTCTTCTGATGTTTCTGATAACAGAATTCCTGTCTTCTCTGGTGACGACAAATCAGAGGTTCATTTCAGAGCGACACCTGTTGTTTTATCTAAAATGTACTTGGATTTTTCTGCTTTTAGTAGGGAGAAAGAAGATGTGGAATAATTTTAGCAACTAAGTATCATCTGTTACTTCTGTTGAGGCTCTTACTTACTTATGCCAACATCACCTCTTTCTCCCATTAGGTGTCCTCTTCAGAAAAATAATGCAATGATCTACACAATGAACTGAATTTCCTAAGTTCAGTGAGGCTGGCTGTCACTGAATTCTACTGTTATCTCTTGTCTAAAACAGACTGCTGCACATGGAAGCCCATATAAAAATCCAGCTGCTTGTCATAAAAACGTATTTTTAACCAAAAAGAATGTACAAGAAATGGGTACAACCCACCACTGGGCATTCTGGATGTATGTCAGTCCAATTATTTTTGTTTCTTCCTGTCTTTGATTAGGAGTATATGCTGCCCACCCTCTTGTCATGCTTAGAACATGCCTTCCCTTGCATGAGCTCTGTGGGTTTTGTTCTTGCTTTTGTTAAAGCCCTCAACAGTGGCTGTTCTTAGCTACAGGCCCAGCATTATCTCTGTTTGAGGGGTACTTGCAGTTCCTAGCAGGATATGGGCCTCACTGTGAGATGCTCCAAACAGAATAATCTTTTGTACTGAAGAGCTCTTACCAAAGACATCCCAGCAGCATGAGTTGCTCATCTAAGGTCACTGAGGGTAGATTAGAGATAAGTTCTTCAGACGGCCAGTGCACTATTAGTCAATTGTAAGGTGGCACTGCTTCCCTGCTGATAGCTGTCCTTTTGACTTCACTGACCTGATTTCAACAGGAAACTATGCTTCAGTAATGCTTTAGTGAAATGAGGTATAAATAATGAACTTGAATAAATAACTGCAGCTGGAAGTTATTTAGGAAAGCAGTTCAATGAGTTAAAAAAAATTGTCTATGGTTGTATCAATAGCAGCTGTGGTTATATGAGTCAGGATAATATTTACAGAATTTTCAATCTCTTAAGTTTCATGGTATTCTTACAATCTAATGAATTAAACTGTTTATGCCTCAAAGGAGTCAGTTCTTCAGCTGTGCAGTCAGAAGATTGCATTGGCAGACTGTGTGACATTTTTTCTTTTTTTCTTTTTCTAGTAACTCCTTGAAAATAATTATTTTTTTCTTCCCTAAATGGTTTTTCTTCTGCCAAGATGCACTAGTTTAGTATTGTGTTAACAGTTTCTTTCCTGAGTGACAGTACTGATGGGATATCATAGGACAGTAACATCTGGGACAAAGCATTATATAATTTACTTTTTGCAAAGGGGAGGGGGTGTTGTGGAGCATGAAAAAGGTAAGAAACAGGCTATTTTGTATTTTTCAACAGGGACATGATACTTGGAACAGAAAATTAAGCTGAATTTCCAAACAGAAGTGCAGATGATTTGGAAATGAACATTTGGGACTATCTCGAGCTCCTAAAAAATGCAGTTAATACTGTTATAAAGCTTAGGGAGTTACTCCTAGCACAAGAGATCTGAATTGGTCTCATAACATGCTCACACAGAGAAGCTTCTGATTTACTAGTTATTAATAAAGTACTGAGTCCAAGTGCTCCCCAAAGCTGACTACTATTTCCACCCGGAAATCCTCTTTAGATGGAAAACTCCAACTGATCTCAGTAATACTGGGAAATCTCTGACAAAGAAGGCACTGTGCACATGCAGATGGACTGTGCAGCACATGTACAGCAAATTTAATGCATTGCATACTGTGAAGTTAATTTGTGCATGTCCAGCAAACCTGCTGCAGCCATTCAGCTAGATTTGGACAGGCTGGAGAGGTGGGCAAAGAGGAATCTAATAAGATTAAACAAGCAAATGCAGAGTTCTGCACCTGGGAAGGAACAACAAAATGCACCAGTACAGGCTAGGAGATGATCTGCTAGAGAGCAGCTCCGTGGAGAAGGACCCTGGAGTTCTGGTAGACATGAGGTTATCCATGGGACAACAATGTGCCCTTGTGGCCAAGAAGGCCAATGGTATCTTGGGGTGCATTAAGGAGTGTCTCCAGCAGATCAACAGAGGTTCTCCTTCCCCCTTACTAGGCCCTGGTGAAATCTCACTTTAGAGTATTGTGTCCAGTTCTGGGCTCCCCAGTTCAAGAGGGACAGGGATCTACTTGAGAGAGTCCAAGGGAGGGCTACAAGGATGATTAAGGGACTGGAACACATGCCTTACGAGGAAAGGCTGAGAGACCTGGGGATTTTCAGCCTAGAGAGGAGAAGGTTGAGGGGGGATCAAATTAATGTCTATAAATATATGAGGATTGGGCATCAAGAAGGCAGGGACAAGGTCTTTTCACTTGTGCCCTGTGATAGGATGAAGGGCAATGGATTCAAACTCGAGCACAGGAAGTTCCACCTCAACATAAGGAAGAACTTTACTGTGAGGGTTACAGAGCACCGGAACAGGCTCCCAGGAGAGGTTCTGAAGTCTCCTCTAGAGACTTTCAAGACCTGTCTGGATGCCTTTCTGAGTGATCTGCCCTAGTTTTTGTTGTTTTTTGTTGTTTTGTTTGGTTGTTTTTTGTTGGGTTTTTTTGTGTCCTGCTCCAGCACAGGGGTTGGATTCAATGATCTTTGGAGGTCCCTTCCAACCCCTAATATTCTGTGGTTCAAGACCCTCGGTATGAGAAACCACCAGCACTTACTTTCTCCACAGAGCTGAATTTGGGTCTTCAGCTGTTCTGTATCACAGGAAAATCGGGCAGACCTGCCCAGCTCTTCATCATATTTCCGTTCACTCACAAAGTGCTGCAAGAATACAGACAAATTAAGAGTGATTTGCATTCTGAGCAAAAGACTACATGGAAGGTACAGAAACCAGTCAATACTCCCCTTAAGTTTACTTCAAGGCTCAGCAAACTCTTGATCCTGTCCCCATAGGAACTCTATGGAAAACTATGTATTTTCCTAACAGTACCAAATGACATGTCTCACAGCCTAGCAACAGGTGGATCACCCCCACACTTGAGAAGTGGGTCATTTCATCAGAGAATGCTTTTGATCACTGAACCTGAAGCTATCAGCTTTACTTGTTAACTGAATCTGATACACAAAACAGACAGCAGAACTCCCCACTGCTCCACTTAGGAGGGGACAGCTACACTTATCTGATAGTGTCTGTATGCTGCCCAGGGGTGCTATAATGCTTTAATAAGGTAATGCTTTCCCCACTGAAAGACAGTTACACTTCGGCCCATAGCAAGAATTCACAGCCTGGGCACATTAAGATGACACCACTTTCTTGGCATTAAATATCCAAGCAGAAGTGAATGCCTGACCTTAATTTCAGCCCTGAGTTCAGACAGTTGTGCTTCAGCCATCTGACTGGCTAGGTCCGTCAGTCTCTTCAGCTCCTCAGCTTTCTTCTGCCGAGCAGTCAGGATTTCCACTGTCAAATACCAACAGACAATAATTAACATTAGGAAGGTAAATTTCTCTGTAATTCATTACTCTTTGGGCACTGACACCATACACATCACATGCGAGACAAACACACACATCTCAGACCCCCAAATTCAACTGGACTTCTAATGTGCTGCTTGAACAGATTAAATCAATCAGTATATTTAACTGAACTGCCTAATATTGAAAAAGATCTGGAAACAGGATAGCTGTCAGAAAATCAAAGTTAAACTAATCCTTCAACATTTAGACAAACAGGGGCAGAGACCTGTTGTTTTGAGTTTTCCAGTGCTTTATTTTTAAGCACAAATTCAGGGAGCCTTCCATGGAGACATGGAAAGAAGCATTACTTTGAGTCAACAGCCTGCTTCTGAAGACATGCTATATTTTATTTACACAGGGGCATTTCAGTTCCTCTGAAAAAAATCTGTTCCTATATAGCTTATGTTAAAATCACTGGCACTGTGATTTTGCTTTCAAGCACAGAACATACACAGTTGCCACTTCTACAGCACAGCAGTATTACAAAGGTTAACAGTCTTTAGGAAAAAACAAAATATTCACTACTGCCTTTCTTGTACATGTTATATAAAGAGGGAGTGAACATACTTCTAGGAAAAGAGTGATCATGAACCACAAAGCAATGGTCCACCTACATACAGCATAACATAACCTTACAATTTTGGTGAAAATGTAAAAAATATGCAAACTCTATTACCTACATGGTAACTCAATGAAAAAGTAACAGCTGATTAATTGGCTGGTATGATCAGCCCTTACAGCAGGTAGGAAAGATAGCATCTAAATGTAATATAATTATAACTCTAGTTTTTGTCTAGAGCTTATGTCTACATTCGCAGTGAGTGGTAGTTATTGTAAAATACCTTAAGGCCACAGACTCCATTGCAGCTGTGAAGACTTTGGCTTCTTGTGCCACAACTTTTCAGAGCAGATTTGGCAAGTCACCTAACCAGCACAGACTTCATAATGCAGATTTTTAGGTAAGAATTCATGATATTTCACAGTTTGTTTCTCAACACATTTTTATTTAGTTAATCAGATGGCACCTTCTTTTGGAAGTATCACAGAATTATTTGGGCTGGAAGGAACCTTGAAATGTCATCTAGTCCAACCCCTCTTCAATGAGCAGGGACATCTTTAACTACATCAGGTTGCTCAGAGCCCCATCTAACCTGACTCTGAACATTTCCAGAGATGTGGTATCTTACCACTTCTCTGGGCTATCTGTTCTAGTATTCCACCAACTACAGCATGGTGCAGCAGCTACAGAAAGACAGAGCTGCAGCTGTACAGCTGTGTGGTAGCAACCAAACCACATGACAGAGTAGCACATGTCACACAGGGCAGGGAAGGCAGAGGATGGCTACAGTTCCTCTAGCCCTGTGGCTAAATCTCTACCTACATTACTACTTAGGCTAAGAAGAGGTGTGTATCTATATCTCAAGCTGGTCTTTTAATTATTATTTTTTTTTGTGGAATATGATCTACAAATCTGAGAAACTTTTATCAGAATACACTAACAGTTAACTAGCTTTTTTCCATGTCCGATGGTTCTGCTTTATTGCAGGTAATGCTAATATTGTCTTCCCCCAAGGTCAGCTGAAGCGACTACCCAAACCATACCATCTCATCTCATCTCATACTGACACATCTCCAAATGAGATGCCAAACAAATACCAATTTAAAAAAAAAAAACATAACAAAAAAACCCACTTGAAATTATCATATTTGGAAATTTTACCATTATCGACAGCAATAGTAAGATTACCCACTGTAAAACAGTCCTCCAATGCAGCAAAGAGATGTGAAAATAAATAATAACGTAAATCTTGGTTAGTGTGTTACAGTGCTGCAACAACTTCCTGTCTGAAGTTCTGAAAGGACTTGACAAGCCTATTACAGTCTCGAGAGACAGCAGAAACTCGTGTCACATGTGGAGTCAGCATGAACACAGGGAAATAGAACCTGCCATGTGCAAATGCAGCACTTTGCATACCTGTAGATAAAAATTAGGTTTACTTTCCACAAAAAGTACTACTATACCTGGCCAAGATTAATGAATGGGCCCTATGATACCATTAGCCCTGGACACTGGATTTCCAAAATGTGTTTTTGTTTATGCAGTTAGGGCTTAGATCTATGTCTGCTGATATCAATGGGAATTTTACCATTGATTTTCCTGTGAGTGGGCACTTGCCCTGTAGCTGATTATGGCTACCTGCTCTCTACAGGTAACCAGAAAGTTGCTGATATGTTTCTATCTACAAATCCTCTCCAGAATAACAAAGAACTCAAATTTCATTATCTATTTCATGTTTGTATTACTAAAGTTCACATACAGAATTTGAAAAATAAATGCCAATCTTTGCTGTAAGAACTCCTACCTTTTAGTTTCTACACATATACAACTGCAAGAGACTTAACTAGCAATGGAAGATTTAGATTTATTTTTTTTAAATAAAAATTTAGCTAGTATACATTTGTGAAGTAAGTGAGAGTTCTAAATGCAAACTGATAATTCAAGAATGTTAGATGTATTTGTGACCCCTCCGGGAAGGACTTTATATTCACAAATCAATAAAAGGATTGCATGAAAACACAGCAGTGATATACATATATTTTTCATCTCTCAGGCAAAGTATCATTCTAACAATATTTTGATTATTCTTCAGTTTCTTGCTTAGCAATCTCTAATAAAACACATCCCCTTGATTACTAAGCCATGAATACTGTATCTCAGGCAGATACTGTGGTATCCTAATACGTTGCTTATCTTGCTGGTTTTTGTGGTTTTTTTACCCAAACCAGAATATATATCTTTTACCTATGCAAAAACCAGAGATGACATGGAAGTCTGGAATCACATCAACTCCCACAGATTCCAGTAAACAAATGTCAGTTTGGAAGTTTTTTTGGTTTTAATTCATAAGCTTGATCACTATCCCTTAAAGCTATGCAAGGCCACACAATAACATATTCCCCATGTAATTTTCAGCATTCTAACTCACATATGTAATATAAGAAAGCAAAGAGTGATTAAGGAAATGGAAAAGGACTAATCAACAAACCACAGAAATAAGAAAAAAGAAAGCAGTCAAAAAGCTCTGATGAGAAAAGCAGAAGCAATGATTAATTTAAATCTAACTTATATCAACTTCTGGTTTACTTTAATTTCAAAATATTAAGACTTTTATGCACAGCGCTTTGAGATAGAAACTATAAAGAAACTATCCCAAAACATCAAAGACTTATTTGATTGGATACATATACAAGCTGCTAACCAAATTTATATACGGTACAATTTTCTGCCAAACAAAACAAACATTTACATTAATATTCCAAAAGTTCCCTGTGTAATTTTTTTACTTACTGGCTTCTTCTTTAACTTTATCAATTTCTGCCATCAATGACACTTCTTTGTCTACAATGCTAAAAAAAAAAGAAAAAAGAAAAAATCAATAATTTAATCCATGCTAGAACTTCATAAAATCAAAAGCAGTAACTACACAAATACTTCAGACCTTAGTTATGGGCAATCTTGAAATAATTGAAATTTTAAAAAATGGAAGCTGAAGAAACAGCTGGCCTGCTCACATGTCTGAACAGATGTGGAAGTCAGTCTGATTCACCTTTTCTGTATGGCCTGGGCACAGCAGTCCCCAGACAACTCAAGAGCCTCTTTCCTAATTAAGCAAGATTTCATATTGCTGCTGACCAGGTTAATACAGTAAATATTGCTCTCAGTGCAACACTAACAATAAAACAGATTTGAAGCTGTGTGGAAAGAGGTCCTTCTATTCCTTAAATAGAGATACTTGTGCAAAACATGTAAGGATAAACAAGAAAATGCTTTGTAATGAAAATAAGCATGGATGTATCTCTATAATAGAGGTTGGGTCCTTGCCCCATATTCTCTGGGACCGGGAAGGTGTGGTTCCAGTTTTACCTGGACTTTCTGATGGTCTCATGTGCCTGTTCTTTCACAAATCTCTGGTGTGCAATCCCTGACAGTGCTTTTAAGTTGCCAAAGTTCAAATTGATGAGGTAGGTCTACTGAGAACAGACAGTGGGTCTGGTAAATTGTTCATGTCATCAACCCAGCAGGATTGTTCAGTGAAAGAACACCACTGCAGAACACTCTTCAGTGCATAGTGTCTGGTGTGACATTCCATTTTCCCTTCAGTAGTTATCCTTAGTTATGTTCATGTTTAGTAACCACCAATGTTTATGTTTGCATAACTCAAACTCAAGCAGCTGTGGGGGAAATAATAAAAAAGTGAAACCAGGCACATGCTCAAGGGAAGACAGGAGTTCTCAACACTTTAAGTAAAATCATCCTTAAGCCTAAGCTTTTGTAGCCAGTGAAGACACTGAGTGAACTGGTTTATATCAAAAGGAAGATGCTATGGAAAACTCAACAAAATATTTGTCTAGCAAGAAAGCAAAATCCTACAGAGTTCATTGAGCAGCAACCAAAGACAGACGACTTACAGAGAGGAGAACTGGTGAGTTGTTAATTACAACATGAAAATATTAGGATGCAAGCAGTGTGGGAAACACATGGAGTATACACAGCTGCCAATAAAATTACAATGTAACATTTTTCTGTTTCATACACATAAACAATACTAAAAACACTGTTTTGGCCTGCCAGATCAATTTAGTGTGACCTACACACTAGAGAAAATAAAACAGCAGGGTTTTTTACAGTAGAGCAAATCAGTTAAGAGGCACACACATAGAATGAAAGGACACGCTTGTTCCAGTTAGCCTTCAATATTCTCCAGGCATAAGCATCCAGCTTGGACTCAAAATAGGCAGGTGATGATTTCAGCTTGTGAATCTAAATAGCCATTGCTTTTCATAATTAATCTATTTTCACTAAGCTTTTGTAACTACATGGTAAAATAAAACTCCTTTGCTTTAACAGCAGCATGGCTAAAACGAGTTTTGTAAGCTCTCATCTGTTTCTACCCTTCACAAAGACAGTATTTAATGTTCTTTAGCATTTTCCCCTATATTTAGAAAGTATGCACATTTTTGTTTCTGCTATTACAGAAATGCCTCCCTAGTGTACTGCACAGGTTATATAAACAGAAACTTTCGTCTGGAAAAAATATTCAAGCAACAAGCTCACAAACACATTGCTCCTCAGAACCGTGTTTTGGCCTGGTTCCTTCCATGTTCTCTGTCTTCTCCCTACTCCAACAATGCATCCTTGCTTGCCCCTAAGATTCTGAGGCCAAATAAAACCACTTTTAATACCAGAACAAGGCCTTAGCAATCCTATATTTATGTATTTTAATGTCTGAGCTCATATCTTATTAGACAGGTTTCCACTGCTTTTTAGCATGGTCTCTAGTGGACAGAGCGAAGTGTTTGGATTTTGTAGTAGCAGAGATCAGAACTGATGAATTTGATGGAGAACAACCATGTCAGTACTTCCCCTGTCGCTACACAAACTAACATTGGGAAAACTAAAAAATAAAATAAGTTGTTTGTTGCCTTTGTCACTATGAGACTAGTTAATGTGATAAACTGAGTTTCTTTAATGGACAGATCTTCATGGGGTTGCCCTTCCCTGAAGACAATGCAACTGTCCTAACCTATAACAGCTGAGGACATGGACTCTCTTGATAAAAGGAACATACTGATTCTCATCTAGAAGTGTACAGCCACAATTCTCAGCTTGGAAATAATGAATTGCTATATGTCATGGAATTATAGGGGAAATTAACATTTCTTTAGAAACATCAAAGGCCAACAAGCACTAGGAAATGCTACGTTTCTTCTTAGTTCACATAGGATCAATTATTAAGGAAACGGGGTAGGAATCAATTTAATTCCTTTCCAGTCACATAGAGCACCTCAGTGCAAAATTGACCAACTCCTCCTCCATCAAGAACTTGGCAAAGTTATAAAAAAATAACAGAGAGGAAGCTGGAAAACCAGACTGGAAAAAGAAGGTTGAAAGACAAAGCAAGTACAGAGACAACTAAATGCTAACAGATACACAATGAAAAAATCAATGGATCAAATCTTGTCTCTTGCTCCTACCAAGGTCCCACTGTTCTCACACAAAGCTCAGAAAGCCACTCAAGCTGAACTGCTTAACTCATGAGAAACTTAACTGATTTTAGTATATTTTCTGAAATAATGCCCTACTCTACCTCAATAGGATGATCCCAATCAGATGACAGTGAGAACTGCTCAAAGCTCAGGTCAGCAATACCTCTTGGGAATACACTTTCTTCCAATGCTTCTTAGTGTTCACTTGATACCAAAACGTTATGTCAAGCTGGTTCACTACAGCGCACAGCCTGCAGCCATTGGTGTGCTGTGGAGAACTGGATACTGGGTGCTATGGGAACTTGCCTCACACCCACATATCAGCAGATCTGGTCTCCAACAGAGCAAGGAACAGAATGCATTTCAGACCTAGACACCTCAGGGAAGACGGTCTGCGAATTCCTTCCTCTCTAGTTATGCTGTTTCTCTTGGGTCTTCTATAGATGTTAGGAACCAGGGTTAAAATCATAAACATTTCTTTAGCTGAGGTTCTAGAGAGGTCTTACCTTTGTCTATTTTTTCTGATTATTGCCAACACTAACATTTTGTCGGGCTTCAGCCATCCCTCCTATTTCCCTCCAACATCAGCATTTCAGTATATCCCATAAACTGTTTGAGACTCCTGTGACAAATGCACAACTTAGCATCCCCACTTCTCTCTCTGAACCTATTGGAATCCATGCCCTCATCATCAGCCCCATTGGCTCCCCTGCTGTAATAACATTTATCAGTTCTGCTGTGGGTGTTCAGTTTTTTATGACACTTTCATAATATTCACTGGAGCAAATACTGTGACTCTAATCTCTCCTCCCATTGAGCAACATCAAGGACAGATTTGAATCCATTGAGTCTTATATTTCATGACTGATGCTGGAGCTAAAATAGAGTAACACTACTACATCTTTCTTTCCTGTCTCCCTTTGCCACGCCTCTTCTGAAAACAATGATTATATTCTTCTCTTATCCCTCACTCTCTCAGGATTGGGGCCTGGGTACCAAACTCTAGCTGTCAGGATTGTATTATTATTCATCGCAGGTGATTCATCTGCAGTCCGGAGCACAGGATTCAGCATTGTTTGATTTTATTATCCAGATGAAATTTTGAGGTGGAGGTTCAGGAAGCAGATAATTTTGTTGGAAGAAAACAGCAAAGCAGACAAGGTAGAGGATGTGCAAAGTGGGGCAGGACACAGACAGTGCTTGTGCTGTAGAGATAAGAGATGCAGCAGGAGAGAGAGCGGCTCTATAGGATTAGTTTTGCTGAAGTGATTCCGAAGGCAACATCAGAAGTGTCTTATTTGTGGTCAAACGGACAGTACTCATGCCTTGGACTTACGCAGGCTCACAGAATTCACACTTAGTATACAATGGCAAAAGAGCTGCAAATGCCCAACTGCAGTGAGTTGCCAGCACAGCAATGACAGAGATAAATTATGCTGACAGCTGCCTTATTTCACAGTTCCATACTCAGAACAAATTCTGAATTTGTTCTGATATTAGTATAAACAAATAAATCTTCCTCTAGTTTACTGCATGAAATTTAGTGCTTGCTCAGAGAAAAAAAAAAAAAAAAAAATTCAGTCAGCTGCAGTAGCTCAGAATTCCACTATAATGATTAAAATTATCAGTGACTCTTCAGAAAAGCTGCTTTGGATTGCCAGGCTAACTTATAGCTTTACTGATGAGAATCACAAGGCTTCCAGATGACCAGAATCTCCTCTTTCCTTCTGCCTCTTCTAGGCTTTCTGAAAAACCTGCTGTGCTTGGAGAAATGGGGAAATAAAAGACCAAGCTGACATGGAGGAAAACATGTTGACACAACTCACAAAGTATGGTAGAGAGGCAACCACTAAGAGCACAGCTCAAACAAGTCTTTTCAAAACCCTGTTAAACACCTCAGAACACCCATTTCCTTCTTGAAGTGTTTAATAAGCTTCACTCTCTCCTGAACAAGCTTTGTGCATAGTTTGAGAATGAATGTTGTTTTAGAGACTGAGAAGGACACAGTCAGCTGTGGCATTCCAAACAACTGTAGCAGGACTATTAATCTGGAAGGGGGAAAGAGGCTGCAATAGCTCAGAATTCCACTATAATGATTAAAATTATCAGTGACTCTTCAGAAAAGCTGCTTTGGATTGCCAGGCTAACTTATAGCTTTACTGATGAGAATCACAAGGCTTCCAGATGACCAGAATCTCCTCTTTCCTTCTGCCTCTTCTAGGCTTTCTGAAAAACCTGCTGTGCTTGGAGAAATGGGGAAATAAAAGACCAAGCTGACATGGAGGAAAACATGTTGACACAACTCACAAAGTATGGTAGAGAGGCAACCACTAAGAGCACAGCTCAAACAAGTCTTTTCA